ATTGCTTTGGAAAAAAAAATGTTATTTAATAAAAATTTTGTAACATTTATGCTAGCTAAATTGGAATCTTTTTACACTTATATTTTAATATCTAATGTTATTCTTTATTGCAATTTAAATAATGACAATGCTTCCCATTCTTATTGTCTGTTGAAATTTGAATTTCATAATCATGCAGTTAAATTCTCACAATGATAATAATTGTTATACATCTGCATATCCCTATGCAGAGCACTTTCATTGCATACATCTTCATTTCAGTCATGCAAGGCTAAGCATTTGTTTCCAATACAATTGCAGCTGTTCCTAACATAAACATCAGTGTTGCTCCCTCCTTACAAATCCACCAGCAGCAGCACTTCCGTGAACATCAGCATTCTTACCTCTATTCCTCCAGGGAATATATTTTCACTTTGGTAATTTTGCCTGTGTTTTTAGGATTAAATGCATGCTTCCCTTACATAGCAGTGAGGAGAGGCATGCTCATTTATCATTAAGCAGGCAGTCTGTCTTCTAACACAAAAAGAGAGAGAGAGAAAAGAAAGAAAAAATAAGACCCTGCTGTCCAACTCGACTGCTGACAAGTTTTCCCACATTTTGAACCAACTGACGAGGGACTATTTCATCTCCGTGCATGGGAGCATACCCCAGGCTGCACTTGTTTTAGGTGATAGATCTAATTGCAGAGGAGAGGAACGATACGTGTTCCTCCTGTCGAGTGGTCCATCTAGTTCTTGGTCCTACTACTACTGTAGTATCCATGGTCAGCGTTAATGTGTTAGTTTCTAGAGTGAGATGGAATCAAAGGAATTGCTCAGGACAAGTAGAAGCAGGTAAATTAGAGTAGGAGCCACTTGCTTTCTTTTCGTTTTTTTTCTATTTTAACATTTGAGCCCAATGCTCTTTACTAGTAAACCATGCTACTAATAATACCACTCCCTAAAGGTAATTAATATTAAGTATAATTTAATAAGTGCATACCATATGGAAACAATTGTGCTAATTTCTTTACATACATTATTTCATCTAAAACAGCTATCACCCGTATGAGGTAGGTGATACTTACGCCAATGTTCAGATTAGGTTATCGAGGCCTAGACGTAAGTAGCTTACTTGAGGTAATATGGCTACTAAATGTGGAACTGTCATCCTGTCTGTCCCCTCACAGCTGTATTGTCATACAGTCTTTGAGACTCCAAAGCCTTAACTAATGTAATACTGATAGACCAAGTTCTTAAGCCTTTATATTATTTTGTTCTACAAAAAAGTCTTGTGAATCCTTCAAGAAGAAAAGAAATACACTTTCCTTCAGTCAACTTTAACTAAAGTTATCTTATTAGTCTCTCTAGGGAATGCATATGTAAGACAGGGATTCTTTCCTCAAGGAACTTGGAATCTAAGAATAGAGATTACAGATGGTCCCGGACTTTGATGGTTCAATTTAAGATTTTTCAAACTTTACAGTGGTATGAAAGAGACACGCATTCAGTAGGAACTGTACTTTGACTTTTGAATTTTTATCTTTTCCCAGGCCAGCGACACGCAGTATGATTTCTAATGTGAAGCTGGGCTGCAGCAGTGAGCTGCAGCTCCCAGTCAGCCCCATGATTACGAGGGTAAACAACTGATGCTCCACAGTGTAGTAGTAAATGCATTTTCAGTTTATGGTATTTTCAACATATTATGGGTTTATCAGGATGTAACCCCAGTGTAAGTCAAGGAGCATCTCTATATGGATGGAAAAGTTTTCATAACAGCAAAAAATGCTCGCTATCACTGGTAGAGAATTAACTTACAGCTGGGGAGAGCAGTGAATCTATATAATTCAGGCCAGATACAGACTGATGTAGAAATGTAAAAATGGAGATACATACTAACAGGCTGATATGAATACCCCCCAGCAGACACCCATTTTAGAAGGTTCACCAGCCTCCACCATACACAGGGCTGGCAGATGCTATGTGTCCTTGAACAAATTATATTCTCTCTTTGACCCTGTCTCTGTACCTATAAATGGAAGGGAATGGCCCATAGGAACATCACAGGCCACATGGCTCTGCATTTAAACTCTGGTTGGGTTTGTTGCCAAATAGAGAAGCAATCCAGAAGAGGGAAGAGAGGTTTGTTATGCACTCTTGAGCAATTGTTGCAGAAGAAGGGTAAGATGAATATTGAGAGAATATGGAAGCTCTTCCATAAGCCCCAAAAAAAGGCCTGGTTCTGGAAAGAACCTCCCCTTAGCCATGAGAGGATAATGCTTGATGTCCATATTGTCCCAACCCTTTGGGGAAATATATTCTTGCCTTTTAATTACATGACTTAAATGGTAAAGAGCATTACAGGCTGGCCGTGAAATGCAGGCTACTCCCTGGAGCTGGTTGGTAGGCTGCCTGGACTCAGATGACCTCCACCCAATAGATTTCTAGGGGAAAATCACCATAATGCTACAATTCAGGAAACATAGATGTAGTACCAAGCACAACACTGTGCATGGTAGGAATCCAGGAACTATCTACCTGAAGTCAGGAAAGATGTGCTTAGAACAAGCCCAGGACAGTTTTTCAAATGATCTATCACCTCTTTTTCTGGTGATAACAATTCAAGGACCTTGCTAGAAATTTGAGACTCTCTCTCCCTCATTAGTTACCCTTTTCACATTATATTGGCAAAAACTTACTGTATAATTCCCAAAGGGAACTATGCCATAAAAAGTAGATATTGAATCAATGGACAATTAAGCATCCATTAATAAAAACATGTAGACTATGTTCTTAGAAAAGTGCAAATGAAATAAAATTAAGTAAAAAGCTCAAAGAAAAATTATTACATACACCCTATAATTATTATAATGGTGACACATGAAAAGATTTAAAATAGGACAAAGTATGATAAAAATAGTTGTTTAAGCAAAAGAATACAGACAGAATTCCTTGTGAAACTGATTTAACAATAAATTTTTTTCTAATGAAAATATCATTGTACTTTTTCTCATTGTTAAAAATGCAAACCTCACAGAGAATGTAAAAATCCCTATATAGTCTCACCCCCCAAGGGGTAACCACTTTTAGCAGACTGCTGGAGTATGTTCATATTTTTAATCCCTATATAAGCTTACACATATTTCTCCACACATAGAATCCTATTCTCCCTTTTTTTTTACATGTTTTATATTTTTAATATCAATAGTTTTTATGATAGTGGAAATGGTATAAGTTTATAAAATCTTTAACCAATAAAAGCTAAATAATCCATTTAGATACAAATAATTCTAGAGGTTTATATACAAATGTCAAGGTATGGTCTTTTCCTTCGTTTCCATGAAGACTCCAATCAGGAGGACGGCAACGGTTCCTACGCGCAGCAGCCTGGTAACCAGGCTGTGCCCTCCAAGGCGGGCAGGGCGGGCCGGAGTGGCTGGTGTGGGGGAAGGGGTGTGGGACTCAGCCCCATCTGTCATTTTGCACCTGACCTGTCAAGACAAGGCTCCGTGGACTTCTCTACAATGAGGAAGGAGAAGTTGCCTCTTGTTAATTAAATAGATGTGGAGCCCAGGGAGTCTGTAAGTGAGGCGCACAGAGGCAACTGGTGAAAAGCTGCCACATACGTGCCAGCGGACCCCACAGGCTTCATTTTGATTTTCTGAGTTTCCACGCCACTTTCCAAGGAGACCCGCTATCCATATTCTCCAGGTCTCGAGTCTGTGCGCCGTCTCTCCCAAGGGATGCTTCTCAGTAACGGAGGTTGTTATTCATTACGCTCATGTCACTCTAGCTAATAGGACCGAGGGTTTCCTGAGGTCACATGGCAGTGCTGCTCCGGCTTTGAACCAGGCCGGCTGGAAAAATGCCCTCTCCTTCTGCGCTGTAGCCACGGGAGCAATAAGGTAATGTGAGGTTATGCAACTCAGCATATGGCATTTCCTTGGAGAGCGGAGTTGTCGGAACGGAGGCCTAGGAAGGTACTCTTTAGGTAAAACAGCCTGAATGCAGCCTCTCAGATGCACTAGAATTGCTGTTTTTAACTCAGGCCTCATGAGTGCTAGCCACTGGAAGCATTGGCGTTTTTCTGAGGTAAGAGTCAAATGCATGCATCAGGTCCCCAAAGAGATTTGCGATGCCCTAAAATCTAAAACCCCGCTACGTTGTAGCTCCCGGGCCTGCCGTGGCAGGCACTGCTGGTGCTCCGGCCAGGCTCCCTCAGATTCCTTTCATTCCAGCTCACTCTTCCCTCGCTGCCATTGTGCTTCTGCTTCTAAACACCCACACCTGTGACTCTTTTCAGAGGCGCTTTGCTTCCTCCTGCAGAAAGCTGACATATCTGGAGCTTCTATCCCCTGGTGAAGAAGTGTAACAGCCCAGCTCCCTTGCCTCCCGTGGGGAAAGCTGATGTGTGTTTTACACTAAAGGATGCCTGTGGAATCGGGCTGGAGTGGGAGCTCGGCCAGAAACTGCTGTGCCTCTTCCCCTTCCACATCTCATTTCCTCCCTACCTTACTGGCTCCTCCTGGGGGCCCTCTCTTAATAACTCACTTGCACACAAGTCCTGTCGCAGGGCCTCCTTCCGGGAAACCTGCCCGAAGACACCTGCACCCAGACCGCCAGCAGGATGTCAGCGGTCTCTCTGCCCTGAGCCTCTTACAAAACAGCCGATCACAGCCTAGGGGTGTGACGGGTCACCGCGGACAGGCCGGAGGCTCACACCGTGAGAGGCAAAGAAAGCGGCTGAAGCGGATGGACGGGCATCGAGGTCGGGCAGAGGAAAAGCACGTTGGGTAAGAAATGGTAAGAGAATCATTCATTTATTACTCACTTGGTATTCTGTTACCCTGGAAAAGGTGTCAAATAAGAAAGGATCTAGGTTCTGGTTCAGACTCCAGAAGTTACTAACTGGAGTGACACGTGGGTCACCTCTGAAACCCCAAAATTCCTCCCCAAACGATCTTGGTGCCACTGTGCTTGCCATGTCCTTCTGATGGCCATTCTTCTCTGCTGTGCCACAGGTGCCAGCATGGGTCAAAGTCACTACACCTGCTGAGACGGCTGAGGAAACGGAAATGGGCGTCGCTGAACTTCACGTAGGTAAAATGGGTTACATCTCACATGCTGATTAAGACCAGTTGCTGGTGAGAATCCTGGGGCTGCATCAGGTTGGGGGGAATGCCATGACTGAAGGATTACGTCTGTGATGAGTGCAAGGACGAAAAACAATGATGGGCCAAGGATTGACCATCTAGTTCAAATCCCCGCCCCCCTTTTTTTTTTGGCTGTTTGCTTTGCTCTACAGGCAGGAACACAAGGTCAAGAAAGACTTGCTCACATTTCCACAAGCGCTTCAGAGTCACCGATTAGAACTTTGGTTGGAGGCGGCTGACCAATGTGCAGGACTTGAGGCTCCCGATGCCGTGTGTGTGTGTGTGTGTGTGTGTGTGTGTGTGTGTGTGTGTGTGTGTGTGTGTGTGTGTGTTCCTTTAAGAACCCAGGCAATACTCCACACTGCAATACAATGCCTTTGGTGCACAGTCTGTGTGGGCTTTCCAGATGTTTATCTGTCCTTTCGAAGTTTATTTTTAAAGCCCTGTAGGATTTATCCTGGCAGCATGATCTCAGGACAACTACTTACTGCATTTTCTAACAGTTGCTGTTCCCCCTTTGTTAAAGGGTCAGCTATAAAATAACGCTTCCTTTGCAGAAAGCCTGTGCCACTGGACAGATTAGATAACTCGGGGGATTTGCGGCAGACAGTGGAGCCTTTAACCCGGGGTCACTGTTTCATCTCTCACCCAGATTAGGCCTGACAGCTGTTCAGGAGCCTCCTTGGGAAGGAATGCCCCGCCATTTGTCTCAAGACAACCGGCACCAAGTGATGGAACCTTTTTGAAAGTCTTGAAATACAGCTTGTAACTCCTTTTACTTCAGTTGCCTGTCATTCTGCAAATTAACAGAGATCCACAATGTCTGGATGAAGTTTATTAGCACAGAGCAAGGAGGCACCGAGCACTGAAACAGGTGCTGATGTCTGGCCCCGATGCTCTGTCCATGGGCCACATATAAAAATTATTTTTACCACATAGTACAATCCTGGTTCCACGGCAGGTGCTAGAAAAGCATCACTTTCGAGTTACAGAGGTTTTCTGCCGTATTTCAATAGAGTTCTTTGTTTTCCACCNTAATCCTGGTTCCACGGCAGGTGCTAGAAAAGCATCACTTTCAAGTTACAGAGGTTTTCTGCCGTATTTCAATAGAGTTCTTTGTTTTCCACCACGCCCTCTTCCCAGAAGGATGCCCAGTACAGCTACAGCCGGTACAGCTTATAGGTTGAAGTCGTTCAGGGTCAGGGTTGACTTCTACTCAGTCTATAGAACACAGGCTTCACCTTAGAAAATATCAGTTTGCATGGTAATTATTGTGACTGTTGATTTCATCATAGGAATGAAGACTTGGTGGGAAAGACTATATTATAAACGGGATATTTTTAATATTATTGACCTGGAGGAGTCTCTGTTCCTACAATTAAGCTTTATTTTAATAAATGTACAACCATCATAAGAATAGGGTGCAGAAAAATACAAGTCGGTGATAATTTTCAATCCAAGTTACTATTTATTTCTATTTATTTGTATCCCAAATCTTTCCACAGGAGACTACAACCACTCAAATGTTTCATCCCCATGAAACATTTGTTTTGATACTGATGCTGCTGTTGTTACTATTTTTCTACTTTCATAAATAACATTAATAAGCTGTTGGAGATAATCACAGAGTATTATTAGACTTGTATTTTGGAGAATTGTGGCATACTGGAGAGATCATCGGTTTAATAGTCAGAAGACCCATTCTGATTATTAGGCTGAATATTTGGCCATGCAGCTTAACCTCTCTGAGCTTCAATTTTGTCATCTATAAATTGAAAAACATAATTTCTGTTTTTACCTCACAGCACAGTTGCAGAGATCAAATACATTAATGTACATGAAAGAACCTGCAAGCTATTAAACTTTTGTGTTACTTATAATGCATTTTTGCTAATTAGAAAAGTAATGGTAGTTTATTAAGGACAATTGCAAAATGTGATAAAGTATGTAGTAAATGAATATAACTCATAATCTAACGATTCAGAAATATCACCTGTTAAAATTTTGACATGTAAACTTTCACACTATTTTTTCTCTGCATATGTGTGTGAGTGTGTTTAATGGAAATAATACTATAAACATGGTTTTATGGTATTTTCAGTTAAGATATCTTGAGTGTTATGGACTAAAGCATGTCCCCCCAAAATTCATATAGTGAAGTCTTAACCCACAAGGTGGCTGCATTTGGAGGTTTCCCTTTAAAAAGATATGGGTAAATGAGGTCATAAGGGTGAGACCCTAATCCAGGATGACTGGTTTCCTTTATAAAAAGAAGAGACACCAGTGATGTGCACACAGAGGAAAGGCCATGTGAGGACACAGGGAGCAGGCAGCCATCTGCAAGCCGCCAGAACCATCAGAGATAAATGCCTGTTGTTTAAGCCACTCAGCCTGTGGTATTTGGTTATGGCAGCTCTTACAAATTAAAACATTGAGCATGGCCCTTTAAATGTTTTTAAAGAATTTTATTTTTAATAGCTACAGATTTATTATTTTTATATAATTATGTAATGAATCATCTATTTTGGAATATTTAGGTCACTCTCAACTTTTGGTATAATAATTAATGCTTCTAATATTCTTGTATGTTGATAAATCATTATTTAATTGCAAAATACTCTCCCAAAAGACTGTAGTATAAATTAACGGGAATAAACGATGGGAATTCTTTGTACTATTTTTGTGGCTTTTCTGGGTTAAAAATCATTTTAAAATAAAAGTTAGAAAGGAAGATATCTTATAACATATTTATACAAATATTATTCTGCAGCCAATATTATTTCGATACAACCCCAGACAAGCCTTCTTGGAGACCAATATACTGACTGCAAATACCATCACNAGGATAAAACAGCTCTAACATATTTATACAAATATTATTCTGCAGCCAATATTATTTCGATACAACCCCAGACAAGCCTTCTTGGAGACCAATATACTGACTGCAAATACCATCACTCACACGGGGTCCCTAACAAAAATGTTTTCTGTTAGTAAGGATTTGAGAATTTGATGCACAAGTATAGATGGGGGAAAGGAGGCTCTACAAGAAAAATCGTTCTAAAAATTATTGTTCCTACACAGGAAAGAGCAAAGGTAAGAGTGGGGAGGTAGGATCCCTGCCTTAGATGGTCTCTTCATTGATTTGATAAGTTGTGGGCAGGGCACTTGTCTCCCTGTGTTCCCCACATTATGGAAAGATTTGTGCTGGCTCTTACAATCGGGCTGGTGTTTCCTGGGTTTTTCAATTTAAGTCAAATATTTACCAAACACCTAATACATGCAAAGTTTTTTGGAGGTTACAGAAATTAATAAGGATTAGTCTCTGTCCTCTAGGTAGATAAACTAGTGAGACAAACCAAAAGAAAGGGAAGCTCTGAGCTATCCTAAAACCTGAAGGAAATAATCCCGACTGGTGACTGGAAGAGTGTTCAACACATATTAAAGAGATCAGGGCATCATTAATAGAAGAGGTGGCATTCGTTGAAGGATCAATAGGGTACCACTAAGCAGAGTCAGATGGAAAAACTGCTAAAAATATCTAACATCTGAAAGGGAATGTGCAGGGGTCAGGTGAGATAAGGTGCAGGGAGTGTGTAATGGGAGATGAACCTGGATGTGGGAGCCATTCATTGTGGTATGGATTTGGGATTACTAGGAAGCCACCAAAGTTTTTTTTTATTAAATTTGGATTTAAAGATTACTGAGAAAACTGTAAGGGAGAAAAAAGAGTAGAAGAAAATATATCTTGCTTTCAAGAGTGCTAGAAGAGAAAGATTTGCTCCCTACGCCACTCCACCCCAACTCGCAACACTCAGGGAGGAGACACTGTTACACTCTACAGAGCCAGAAAGTGGGTTATGTGTCAGTCACACACTGCAAGACTCTGACCAGATGAAAGAATCCACACATTTCTGCGGAGTGCTTGGCAGATATGTTCACTATTTGTCAAGGCATGGAATAATGGTTTACTCTTCGCTTGTGCTGATGTATAATTCATCTTCACTTGTAAGGTTTAAGTCCTGCATCTGCCAATCACTGTGTGACTTTCTGAAAGTTACCTACCCTCTCTGAACCTCAATTTTCTCCTTTGTCTAATATGGGTAATACCTACCTCATAAGGAGTTTGTAAGCATTAAATGAGATAATGAGTGGGAAAGTGTTTCTTAGCTATAATGTGTAATACAAATGTTATTATAATAATTATTTCTTTTTTTTTTTAGTGGACTAACAGAAAAAATATTCTGCACTACTTTACCAGAAGGTGGCAGCATGTTGTTTGCTAGGCCTATCCTCTCTCTTTTAACTCTGGTGGGTATTTTCTGGAGACTTCATCACGCAACCATGGAAATCTAATGGAAACCTATATGAGTTTGAAAACACTAATTCTTTGTCTGTGTTTGTTTTGTTTTAGACTATAGACTATAGGGTGATTAATATATAGAAAAGTTATAGGAAGCCACTTCTTCTTAGAAGCTCAATTAGGGAGAAAACATTTGTTCCCCGGCCCCACCCCTGCAGGGTAAGCAACTTTCAAGGCCTCATGTACTTGTCTTCTAAAATGCCTCCATTGCTGCCTGGAGTTTGGAGCAAGGATTTATGCTTTGGTTTTCTGGATCTGATTAAAGCTTCCACCTGACTGCCTTGTCTCCTATGTGCTAATCCACATAGCACACTCACATGCATTAACTGGACACTTTCTGGCTGCAGAGATGATACAAAGAAAATTTCAAAATGGTCATATTCTTCAGGATCTTACAGTCAGTCTTGTTGGAAAGACCAAGCATGAAAGGGCTTGAAAATAGTTACAAAATAACATATCAGTGTGAAAAACAAAAGTGCTACTGGCTGAATTTTTGAGAAATGGCCAGAGTGAGAAAGATAATAAGGCTTTCTGGAGGAAATGTATTCTACCTATTATTTAAAATCAAAATTTCTTTATGACGTTTCACAACCTCTCCTACCATATACACTCCCCAAACAAACCCAATACACCCTGCACACCACCACTTTCCAAAATGCTCTATTTATGTATGTGTATGTATATTCTTAGAATAATTTGTTTACTTTGTTAAAATATATTACGTCTTATAATGATACAGAACAGACATCTAGATATATTGCAAAACTAGTGCTTCAAAGACTAGGGACTACATCTGTCCAAGTATCTCTGTAGCATGTCTAGTAAAATGAATGAGATTTGCGGCAAGTAGTTTTGCTAATAATGTAGGGATTTAATATACGCATGTCAAGCCTAAGAACAGCTTTAAGCGTCTTGTTTAAAATGCCTTTCCAATACTCTCCTTGGATAACCAGTGTTCCCTAGACTTGGTTTTGCTTTCCATCGACAATGATGATAGTATGATATTGAACGAATGAAACCAAATCTGATAGACTCTCGGCTTCGAGTTCATTGGCACACGGCCAGGACCCCACTCATGATTCCATCTCTGTGATCACTGTGCCCCAGTGAAAGGAGCTAGGAGAGCATTCAGGTCTCTAAAATTTTCCCTGCAGCCCATGAAACTTATAATTGCCATTGCCACCATTGCATTTCCAAATTTGTTCAAAAACCTGTCTGATCTTTGCCCAAGATCCAATTTAAGTAGCCTGCTGTTGCCAAGAAAGGAGCAAAGATTATTCTGGCCAGGCATTTCTTTGAGATAGTAAACAAATCATTAAACAGTAACAAATGAGGTAGTTCTAGACTGTATGAGACATTTACTAACACTCAGGTTGACTTGCGTAACTCATTTGTCTTTCCTGAATCTCATTTTACCCATCTTTAAAAAAAAAAAAAATAGAAAGAAGTAGCAGAAAATATCTCTGAGGTCCCTGCTAACTTTGTACTTCTGTGATTCTGAAAGGTCAAGTTCTGATAGTTGACCCATGTTTAGTATTAGGCCCCTGCAAGGAGCAGCAAGGGTCTTTTTAATGCAATCTTTTGTGGCATGTATTTATTTTGGCACCTGAATTGGGCTGGGTGACTGGTTACTGGTCAATAATGGGGCCTAAATGAAAAAATTCTGCCGTGAGATCAACTTCTTCCCCCTCCAGTTAGGAAGAGCCACCATCCAGAAAGTGAAATCTCCACTCTACATTGCCGAGGTCCCCCACAAATGTGAACGATACGAATGCTGCCTCTGATGATGAGTGTCACCAAGCTAGGGCAATTATATCTATGGGTTGGCTGAAAGAGCATTTTCCCTAGAGTAATAAAGTTTAAATGTGAGACTTAGCTCTGACCTTAACTTGGTTCGAGTCCTTGGACCTGAGCTTCAATTTATACATATTTAAAATTTAAGAAAAATACCTAGTTGCATGGCTACAGTATTCCTCGGGTGACATAACAGACATGAATTTTTATAAAGACATGTCATTCAACATTAACTGAGAATCCACAATATGAGAGTAATATGATTTTCAAGAGCCCTTCGTGTTGTTTGCAGGCAATAAGTGTGGTAGGCATGCAAACAGTAACATATAAATGGGTTAAAACTGATTAGCCAATAAGAGGACTACGAAATGGCACGAGCAGAAACATCATGTAATTTACTATATTAACGGAGAAAATGAGCTAAACCATAAAATAATCTCAACAGGTAAGAACCTAATACAGAAAAAGTAGTATTAGATAAAATTCAATACCTATTCCTGATTACAAGCCATCAGAGGATACCCCCCTAAAACTTCCCGAAACTAGAGAGAAGCTACATGTCAGGAACCTAATAAATGTCATAACAACATTACAAACTGTCCCAGTTAAATACGAACCTGGTTAAAGATGCACAGTCACCACTCTTACTCAGCATTAGACTAGAGGTCTTCTCCAATGACGTTAAGACTGAAGAAAGGAACAACTACATCTATTAAATATGGGGGGAAGTGGAAAAAGTCTCATTTGCAGATAATATGATTGTCAATCTAGAAAATCCATGAGAATCAGATTTTTAAATTATGGAGATTAAGAGTTCAGCAATGTGGCAAATTTAATACCCATAGCTTTCCTAAATATTAGTAAAACCAATTAGAAAATATAAAATAAAAATCGCAATCACAATAACAACCAAAATGACAGAGTGACATTAAAGGAATATGTTAATGTCTTTTAAAAAACAAACCTTTTTATTTATAGGTACATGAGTACAAGTAAATACCTAACAAAAATTAATGTGGTTTCTTCAGGGAGAGAGGCTGGCTGGAATTGGGCACAGCAGGGGACTCAGCCTTTTCTGTATTCTTAGGATTTCCTTTAGCAGTATATATTTGTGTATCACTTGTGAGAGGCATTAATACCAACGAAGAAAAGGAAGGGAGAAAGAGGGGAATTCCTTAGAGCAGTGCTGTGAAAGAGGACTTTTCCAACAGGCGCAGACACGTGGCGAAGGCGTCTCGGAACGGAGAGGCCAGGAGGAAAGGCGACGGGGCAGAAGCACAGACGCAGAGCTACCGCCGTCCCCGACGTGCACTGTGCAAGTTTACAGTTTACAAAGCACGTCTCGCAGCCCCTCGTGCAAGGCCCCGCAGTGTCGTGGTCTAAAGCAGCAAACCGGGGTCTGAACTCAATCTCTGCCTGGCTAGCTGTGTGGCCTTGGGTAAGTTACCCAACCTCTCTGAGCTTCAGTTTTCTTATTTCTAAAGTTGAGCTAATTAAAAGTGCCTGACATATAGTAATTTCTTAACTAGGAAAACAAAAAGGAGAGGAAAGCTTGAAGCGTGAGTGCCCACATAGGGCACTCTCACATTGTCTAGTCTCCTCTGAAATTTTGGATTTCTTCTCCCATACGAAAACCCCTTAGTTTCTCATTTTCTATCATGGACATCATTACTGTTTTATATAAATAACATATTTACCAACCTTTTCCCCTGGGATGCTTTGTGAGGAAATGTTAATGGACCAAGTGTGCTTTAGAATCCACACTAGACAGACACACACACTGCGCTGAGCAGGGACGGTCCTCCAGGCACAGGGCGCCTCCTGGGGGGGGAGAGCCCTGGAGAGAAGTGTCCACAGCGTTTCTCTTCCTCCTGCTTCACAATAGATCGGGTCCTTTCTATTCTCAGTGAAAGAAGCGGGAAAAGAATAAATGAGAATTCACAAGGCAAGTCCGCTTCCAAAGAGCATCGCTGCCAGACAAGGCGGACTCCCCCAGCGCGACCGCAGGCGGGCGGCCGCCAGAAACCGTGCTTAATATTTCAACGAGGGTTCACGTCATTACAAAATGTGACTTCACCAACCAGGCAGGTTGCGCCAGGGCGTTTTTGCGTGATTGGGCTTTTGGAGAATAAAGAAGGAAGGCGGTAGAAATGCAGCCAGAATTTCATTTTTATTCTCTCAGAATTACAGGAAAGAAATGATGACCCAGTAAAGCATGAGAATTCGTGTTTAACATCCCAAGAGAATTCTTTATGTTTAGAAATCCCCATATAGATTGTATACAACTAAGAACGTTCCTTGTATGAATTATGCATGTTGGAAGTGACTCTCCCAAAATCTGAATGGGAAATTCACTGATCTATAAGAACACAGGTTAAATTCTGCGTTGGCGTCCGTTTATTTTTTCCATTACTGTTCTTGTACATTCTGCAGCATCCACTCCTCAGCTCAGGGGGAAAAATGCAATGTTGTCCACATTCCTGTTTTATTTTTTTCAATCTTCATCCGAGGCTATGCTTACTGATTTTAGAAAGAGAGGAAGGGAGAGAGAGAGAGAAACATCAATGTGAGAGCGAAACAGCGATCGATTACCTCTTGTGGGTGTCCGGACCGGGGACAGAACTCGTGACCTTTCTGTGTATGGGTTGACACGCCAACCAACTGAAACACATCAGCCAGGGCTCCACGTTCATTTTTCACTTTGAAATTTCCTTAAGAGCCTATCTAGCCCATTCTGTAGGTAAGCTGATGAATTTTCAAAGGTGATAATTGAGAATATCAAATGAGAAGCTCAATGAATTTACTTCTCAAACCCCCTCCCCAATTTTGTACATCAGTGTGTTCTCTTTGAAACAAAACCTTCTTTGTTAAAAATTTTACATTAAGCTATTATGAAAAACAGCATATTATGCACTAGAGCAACAATAGACCTGCGTCTAATACACTTAGCCTTTCCTTGCACCCCTGCCCTGAAACATGTCCCTTTCATTCCGTGGCCTCTAGATCCACAAGCCCAGAAGGTTCTTGAATAGCCTCAGGCTCCTCAGACTACCAGGCCCTAGAGAGGCTGCAGAACTCTTTCAGCCTGTGCCCCATTAGCATCCCTGACTGCTGACTTCATCCTGTCACAAGGCCCCTTGTGAAAGCCAGAGCCAATTCATGAAAGTCCACAGAGCAATAGTTATATTGTACATTACATGTAGTGGCTAATAAGTCATTCTATCGTCATCAAAAGCATTTTCAAGAGTCTTTTACCATAGGCGGTATATAACACAGAGTGCTTGTTATATGGGTCTGTGTTTCAATGGCTGGCCTGGGAAATTTCTTCTAGAGCAGCGGGGTACTTAAAAAAATTGTAGAGTTAATAGTTTGTCACAGGTCTGTGTATCCATGTGATCCATGTGACCAATTCCTAATCCAGCCATAGCTGATGCTGGACCTGTCAGAATCCAGAACTAATATGATGAAGGTCAGGTTTGATACTACTGGAATCAAAAAAGTTCTGCACAGACTCAGCCACACACAGTGACCCTGGGTCCAGCTGGTCATTTGCAAGAGGCCTATCCTTGTTCATGATGGGGATAAGTGGGTGTGTGTGAATGGCTTCATAGAGTCGCCCATAACTCCTGCACAGAAACAAACTTGCAGCACATGCTCTACCAATGATAAGAAAGGAGTACTGGGCTTGGGGAGAAAGGACTTGAGTTTGAGTTGGGCTCCCCGCATACATCTTGGGTAAAAATGTTAATCACAATGAACTTCAATGGCTTCGACTATAAGAATAATGGTACCTACCTACCTACGAGGTTATTGGAAAGCTCGAGTTTGGTAACGATTTGTGAAAATGCTTTGCAAAATGACTATACACACATGTACATATAGAGTTATTTGTGTTATATATTTGGAGTCATTTGTGTTATATTATCACCGTTGTTCCAAGTGGTGCTGATGAGCAAACTGAAACATTTCCAACATCACCTAGTACAGTACTTTTAAATTTTTAATGTATATAAGAACCACCTGGTAATCTTGTTAAAATACAGGTTCTAATTCAGTAGGTCTGGGATGGGACCCAAGAGACTCTATTTCCAATAAGCTCCTAGGTGATGATAATATCCTGCTGATTTGAGCACCATACTTTATGAAGCAAGGACTCGGGACAACGTAGGACCAAATAGTGATGAATGTTTAAAATGCTTCCATATGTGACTCTGGGATTAAGAATCTGAACATCTTAGGTTATTTCATTTCAAACGTAAAGACAGTTTTTACTCTGCACTGATTACATGCCCCAAGCGCACGGGAGTCTGTCATATAACTTACGTTGTGGACTATGGGGCCTGTGACCATTAACCATAAATGCAATCAAGAAGTGTTGATGAATGTATTCTATACATTTTTTTTTTCTTTAGATTTTTCTTTGCCTAAGAACTCAGCTACCCTTTAGAGAAAATTCAATTTGGCAACATGTTTGGCAGTCTTGAGAGATTATTTCCAGTAGAGAAGAGCTATGATGGAATGTCCTGAAAGGGGCCTTTCTTTTACACATGTCCACCAGGCCCAGCAGCCTCTCAGCAGCTGTGCACACTGTGAAATTCATCTTTGTCACAAATAGCAAACCACGTGCTATGGACTATCACGATCTCATAATGGGATGTCATCTCACAGCACAAATACATCATTTTTACCAGATTTACAGACAGTGCAGCCCACGTCACCACTGGTAGGTGATGGATGGGCTCGATCTGGAAGTATCTGGGTGTGTGATTTAACATGGCAGGACCCTGACAATCATGGATGGCAGCCAGACCCAGAAGGGCTCTGAAGAGGCTTTCTCCTTCACAGTCCCTTAAACATAAAACCCAGTGGTTGGGAAATGTCGTGGCACCTACTTTAAAGGAAAAAAAAATAGGGACAACCTCAAAAGTCTCCCTGTAACACTTTCCTTAGCTTCTCATGTATTAGAATTTAAACCTCATAGTAAGGGGACTTGGGTGAAATTCACACATAACTCCACTGGATGCACCAGCAAAAAAAAAAATCTGATGTTAAATTCCATTCTCTAGAAAAACTGTTATTTAAGAAGGCACTATATCTTACAAGAGAAGAACCACATTTTGGAATTTCTATGGTGAGCAAATAATTGAGCAAGAGAATAAGAAGAAGATTGCACGTATGCATTTACAACAGCCCTCCTTGTCCACAGGGATATGTTCCTAGATCCCCAGTGAATGCCTAAAACCACGGATCTTACCTACGTATACTATGTTTTTTCCTGTACAGACATACCTTTCCACTTAGAGAAAGCACTTTTCAGCTTCTTTTTGGCAGGTCTAAATTGCCAGCATCATTACTCTTGCACTTGGGAGCGATTATTAATTAAAATAAGAATGACTTGAACACAAGCACTGTGATGCCGTGACAGTGGGTCTGATCACTAAGATGACTACTCAGTGACTAATGGGCAGGTAGGGCACACAGCCTGGATACAATGGACGAAAAGATGACTCACGAACTAAACAGGACAGAGCAGGACAGTGCGAGATTTCATCACACTGCTCAGATTGGCGAGCAATTTAAAAGTTATAAATTGTATATTTCTGGAATTTTTCATTTAATGTTTTCATACCACCGTTGACTTCAGGCAACTAAAACCACGGAAAGCAAAACCATGGATGGGTGGAGTAGGAACAATTGTACGTGTGGCCACTTTAATCTCCTTGGAAAGAGAGAACAAATCTTGACCAGAAATGGAACCATATAAATCTCATCATGGAGAATTTCCATTTTAAAGGGATCTAAACCCCCTCATATCTGGTATTCAATCTTTAATCTCTTCCCCACATTGTAGTTCCTTAATCTCTGAATATTTGGGATCTCTCAGAGATCATCATGTCCAAAAAGAAATTTCTTTTCATTTCTGAAATACTTGGACTGTTAGAAAATTCTTAAACATAATGAGTCTGTGTCTTCAATTCCCACCACCTGGTTGCAGTTCCAAGTTTTAGTGGCTCCCAGAATAAGTATATCTCATCATTTTCCCGTTTTCCTAGCCCTCCACCTCCCTAGATTTCACCTTCCACCAACACGATCCCTAATATCACTGGTGCTATATTGGTCCCATGGGATTTTTAACTTTATGAAGAAGTAGCAATCATACATGGAATTTTTAACTTGTTTTCAAAGTCAATTACATGTGCTTATCAGAGAGAGAGAGAGAGGGAGGGAGGGAGATCCAAACAGCAAGAGAAAAAGCAATAACATCCTAAATAAAGCTGGTGACTCTGTTCACCATTTGGCCCAGTGATCGTGCACCCCAGGATATGGTGAGAATCAATTTCCTCTGCTGGCTCATTTCCGGGGTGTCTCCCAGTACAGGCAACTGAACACACTGAAAGCGTTTTACCTATTTAAGATGACCTTTTTTTTTTTTTTGGTATAACATAACACTTAAACGTGACCCAATTACTTTATTTGGCAAACTACTAATTGGCAAACAAATATTAATTTTAAAGTAACTAAATGTATGAGTTTTGTATTGCTGCTATAACAAATTACCTACTACAAATGTAGTAACCCAAATAACAGAAATGTCTTGCCTTACAGTTCTGCAGTCGGAAGTCTGAATGGGGTACTACGAGCTGAAATCCATGTGTCAGTAGGACTGTGCTCCTTCTGAGGATGCTTAAGGGAGAGCCATTCCTTGCCTTTTCCACCTTCCTGGCTGTCTGCCTTCCTTGTCTCATGGCCTCCCTTCAACAATGGCATCACTGCAACCTCTGCTTCCATCCGCACATCTCCTTCTCTGACTCTCCTGTCTTCTTATCATGATTTACATTAATCCAGGTCAATCTCCTCACCTCAAAATCCTTCACTTAATTACAGCTGCAAAATCCCTTTTGCCTTGTAAGATAACATATTCACAGGTTTTGAGGATTAGGATGTGGGTTTCTCCTGGGGAGGGGTGTGTCGTTAATCAGCCCATTACCTTAAGTTAAAGCAGAGACAATTCTGCATTTCTATATGTGTCTCTATCCTAAAGATAGTACAGTAAGGAAAGCGCAGGTCCCCTGGAGTCTGATCTTAGCATCTCTTCCCCCTACTATCTAGCTGTGGGGTTGGCACTGACTCACTTTCAGAACTAGGACTAGGATGGGATGAGGCACTTAGGGAGCACATGAAAGCACTTTGTCAACAGTAAAACGCAGAGCATGCCGTTCATGACAACTGATTTTCTTACAGCACGAGGGTAGAATAAGTAACACTCCCCCCTTTCGCCCAATTAATATAAAAGTTAGTTCATGTATACAAAAAGCATTTACATATATGTTTACGAAGAGAAATCAGGAATATCCAAAAGGAAGAGTATTAGTTTATGGCAACG